CAGCTGGGACTTGCTGCAGGGCACTCTGGGGAGCTCATCCTGGCATGTACGTGTCTTGTTTTTGCAGAAAATTTGCACCACCACATTTTCATCCAGGCCACTCACAGCACACTCATAAAAAGTTCCATTTAACAGTGCTACACTAAGCCACATGACAGGGGCAATGCAGGCTCCAGATAGCACTTTTACAAACACCTGCAAGCATCCCATAAAGTTACCCCTGGGGCAGAGTTTGAGAGGGTTGAGACAACACCCAGTATATAACCGCCAAAAACGTGTACTAACAAAGAGTCCAATCGCCAGCAAGACAACAGCAGGGCCGATCAGAAAAGTTAATCCATAAGCAAAATTCTGTCTATGGTTGCACGGACACTGGAAAGACACCATGGAGAAAATTCGTTCACTACCTATTGTCAAAATAGCCATGAAGCTGTAACCAATAGTGGTCTTCTGATTGGTAAGGAATTTTAGGATAGTCTTAAACGAATCCATAGCTGGTACAGACATGGTTGCAACACTCCAAATAAGCTGCTGAACTGAAAGAGATTATTTCTGCTATGGCACTCCCTTTTCTCGCTCTCTTATTTTCACTTTGTTTTCCACACTTCCTTTATCTCCTCCTTTTCTGTCTCTGGCTTCCCCACAGCTCATCAAATCCCTCCCCTGTCCATCCTTTCCCCCCTCCCATTCAGTGAAGGGCCGTGACCAAAACCTGCCCATCAGGTTCTGCCAGAAGTCACAACAGACTACAGATGTGTATAGGCACATTTACACATTGTAAGAATCTATAGTCTGCCCCGACCCAGATTCCACTCCACAATATGTTTTTATCATGCTCATTTCCCAAAATGGCTTAATTATTATAGAGAAGAAGAAAGTCAACAGATATGTTGTTTGTAGACCATTTGGGATGATCATATCCTGAGCAAACGGTGACCAATTGTAGAATGGGAGCAGGTGTGGGACACCGAGAACCACCTCAGACAAAGGGGTGTCAGAACTTAATTAACATACAGACCACAGCTGTAACAACAGGAGCAACTTCATTTACATCGAGGGTAGTAAACTCTAAGTGTATAAAATGTTTGAGCTTAGGATGTTCGTGGTTCATTCCGACTCCGTTGAACCCAAGGCACTACATGTACTTTGTCACTGCTATGCTGAAATAAACATCTTCATCAAGATCTTCAATGTCCTCATCACTTTTTCTTACAACATCATGCAACAGCAGTCAAACAAATCAAATTCCAACAATGCAATTTTCTTCCGAGCTTTGTAACTGACAATGTGCTTTTTATTATTGGAATGCCAGAATCTGGAGGTTGCTATGGAATTTGGAAATCTAGAACCTGGAACTGCAGATTAGTGCATGTTAAATCAAACAAAGAGGTGTATTGCAACATAATGCTTTACATTAATTAAAAAGGAAGTGATTCATTCTGGTTCTGTATGAGGAGACAGTTTCTGTTCTGCTCTAGTGTCCACTGTTGTGCCCTGCACTTCTCCCATAAAGATTTAACCTTAACGCTAACCGCAAATGGTAGAACTTCATGAATATTGATTTTATTGAGTGAGCTTTTAGCAGTGTAATTTTCAAATTATACATGACTACTTCATGATAAAAGCATAAAAGTGCTGCCTGTTGAAATATGAGATCATTAATTATCATGTGCATGATGCAGGATGAAGTGACACAAAAGTCTAGCATATAATATAACTCTTTGTTTGTACAGTCCTTTAGAAATGGTCAGGGCACAGCTGTTCAAATACTAATGAATGAGGAAAACAACTGACACTTATGAAAAATTCTACTTGTATAAGCAAAGTTTTTTATTGTTCATATAAAAAAATATATTGAAAGACAAAATTTGAATTAAACAACAAAACCCCAGTAATGTTAAAATCATACAGTTGCAGTAAAAGAAAAGCTAAAATAGCAATACAAGAAGAACAGTGAATTCACACTGTAAAAGGCATAGAAAATAAAGAAGCAAGTACTAAAAGAAAAGCTAAAATAGCAATACAAGAAGAACAGTGAATTCACACTGTAAAAGGCACAGAAAATAAAGAAGCAAGTACAGCTCTCTTTATGCATAATAACAGGGTAAAGCATGAAAAGCTGTCAATTAGACAGCGCCTACAGTACCAGTTTGCCTTCATCCACGAATGCAAGTGCTGCTGGGTTTAAAAAATAATTTTCAGATCTCACCGAAGGCCTTACTACTGGATTTTCAAGGTCCTCACAAGTGCACACATGCTTGTGCAGGATGCTGTAGTATTGGTCCATACTTCGGAACTCAGTCTGTGTGCATTGAATTTATTTAATACATACATTTCACAATTTGAGTAGAATTACTGAAATAAATGAACTTTTCCACGACATTCTAATTTATTGAGATGCACCTGTATTTGTTGAAAAATAAAACTGAGATGTTAAAGCACATGACTGTAGAGGACCTTATGACGAGGTTAGGACATTTAGGCTTCTGCCTGAAAATGCCACTCCTAAGAAATTTGCCTTTGTTTTTCTGAAAATGTAAATGAGAAAATTTCCTTTATTAGTTAAGAAAGCCCTGTCTAGATTCTGCCCCTGTACGAGTTGTGTCGAGCTATTCATTAGTCTGTTTGATGAGAAAAATATGAAATGTTGTTGCAATAAAATGGGTTATTAATCCATATAACTGCAGCAGTGGAGGACTATTATTCTGCTGTGTGATACTGCAGAAGAACTGATGACGGCACGGTTTGATCTTCGGCTGACCAATCAGCAGAAAGGGACGTTTAATTCCCGCCCACTTGTAGAAATCCAATATTCAAGCTGTTTATTCATTTTTCCACCCAAGAACGAAAAACGGAAAAAAGGAAAAAAAAACAAAAACACGAAAAAGGATCCGTTTTCTCATTTTTCTACTTTCAATTTGAAATTAAAAAAACGAATGATACATGGATTGAAGTGTTAAGCCTACACACTAGTTTTGTTTAAAGGCATTGCAAGCGAATGTGGCACCGTATGCAAAACACTTCATGCTTTCACTGACGTGTGATGTGGAAATCTGCATATGTGACCCTGGACCACAAAACCAGTCATAAGGGTAATTGTTTTGAAATTGAGGTTTACATCAAAGCTGAATAAATAAGCTTTCCATTGATGTATGGTTTGTTAGGATAGGACAATATTTGGCTGTGATACAACAAGGGAGCAAAAAAAAAAATCGCCTTTATAGTTGTCCAAATGAAGTTCAATGCATATTACCAATCAAAAATTAAGTTTTAATATATTTACAGTAGGAAATGTACAAAATATCTTCATGGAACATGATCTTTACTTAATATTCTAATTATTTTTAGCATAAAAGAAAAATCTATAATTTTGACCCATACAGTGTATTGTTGGCTATTGCTACAAATGACTGGTTTTGTGGTCCATATTCACCTATAAACCAGTGGTTCTCATTCAGGGGCCCGGGACCACTAGAGGGCCTCTGCAAACTTCCAATGGGCCCTGAACATGACCGAAATTGTTTTAATTTTAATTCATTTTAAAAGTGTTATTTCTGGATAAAAAGTATAAATTAATAACATTTTAAAACTTAATGAAACTTAAAATTAGCCACAATTTTTATGCAATAAAATATTTTAAGATTTTTAATCTTAATAATTTAAATTAGGGAGTTTCATGTGGCTTTTTAATTAAAGGGGTCATATGATGCTGCTAAAAAGAACATTATTTTGTGTATTTGGTGTAATGATATGTGTTTATGCGGTTTAAGGTTCAAAAAACACATTATTTTCCACATACTGTACATTATTGTTTCTCCTCTATGCCCCGCCTTCTGAAACGCCTTGATTTTTACAAAGCTCATCGGTCTAAAAAAGTGAGGTGTGCTCTGATTGGCCAGCTATCCAGTGCGTTGTGATTGGCCGAATACCTCAAGCGTGTGACGGAAATGTTACGCCCCTCACCATACTGTGATGATGCCCTGTCCGGCCGGAGTGATGATTCAAAAACATGAAAACCCATTATAAATGAGGCATTCGTTGCATCCAGTGGGGACATAATTATGGATTATAATGACTTATACTGTCTTTTTACACGTTGCATCGCGCCACGTAAACATAAAACCATGTCTGCGTTTGTGATTGGAGAAATTGCAAACAAGCCCTACTCTACACTGCCCAAAAATGCGCTTTAAATATATAAAATATAAAAACTCTTTAAATATAAAAAACGTACTTACAGTCCGTGAGTCAGAACAGCCGGCATTGTAGTCTACTCTAGCAGGATCAGGAAACAGTCCTCCATAAAATGTGCAGCACACAAATTAATATTTGGGTTGAAGTGTTCTGGAACAGTGTTGTAAATACAACTTAACCACTGATATCTAGTCTACTTGACCAAACAAAGTAGTTTTGCTTTCACAACGAAACAGCATCACACACGGCGGCCTACAGTGAGCAGAGGCCGGGGGCTAGCGTGAGGAATGGCCAGAGGGTTAGAGTGGGCAGAGGCAGGTGGGCTTGAGAACGGCACGGCCGGCGATTGCGACGAAGGAGCGTCTGGAAGGACATGTGACGACTCCAGGCTGGACTTCGCTTGTCCACGGTGAAAGCCGATCCGGCGATCGACAGCGCAAAGTTGTAGCATTTCCACAGCAACCAGCACGGATCAACTCTAGGCACGATGAAGCAGATATCATCCTCTTTTGGAAGGCCTTTCACAACTAAGCACACAGCGCCTTCACGGACATGCTGGTGGCAACAACAATACTAAAAATTGAAATCGCATCATATGACCCCTTTAAAACCTATACATTTTACAAATAATTGTAATGCTTTTTTAATTTGTAGGTCTATTTATTCACTAATTATGTTATAAAACAACATGTCACATACCAATATATACTTCACTCAAAACCGATAAGAAAATCTCACAATGTTTTTGCTGGTTTGCACTTTATATTCGGCGCCTCGTGGACACACATGATCCTGCGCATGTGACCGCAAGAGGCGGGGACTGATTAAGACTAGCATTTACAGGAGCTCAGATGCATCGGGCATAGACGTGACGAGTTACATCCCCAGTCTCTGAACAGTTTTTTCTCCTGGGGGTCGATGCAGATATTTTGTTTGGGTCAGTCAAAGTTGCCAAGTGACCCGACGTTAGATAAAATCGGTTCGACCGAGAGAAGAGGACACTGGACGCGAAGGTACACTTCGTGCGTGCGCTTTTTAGCCCGGTGTATGTTTGTATTTTTACCCTGTATATTTTCTAACCTATAGAAGCGTTTAGACAGTGTTTACGGATGGATGCTGAATGGATGTAACGTTGCCGAAACACTTCACAGACGAATGTCATGAGGTTGCAGCTGGGCGGGTCTTCAGTGAGGATTACATTTATTGTTGCCCAAATATTCTTGCCTGGTTCTGCTCTGTTGCTAGGAGACCTTTGACAGTTGAGGTTTAAAAGTGATTGTGAAGGCGACCTATCACTCTAATCTGCATTTAGTGACAGGGTTGCTTTGTGTTCGTGACGTAATTAACTTGTCAAAATAATACCAATAATGGACAATATAACATCCCCAAAAATTTTAGCAATGCAACCTGCACTTTGATTTTAACGCGACGGTATCTGATTTAAACTGTCATTCAGCCACCTCTACTTTGATGGATTACGGGTGCATTCTGGTTAAGTAGGTCAGTGACAGGCTAAAGATGATACATGGGACCATTTGAGTGACACACCAAAGCTATTGAGAAAATATATGTCATACTGTATCATGAACATTAGTCTTATGGCTCTTATGTCTTTCCTTTTCCCTCTTCTTTTCTCCTCCATCGACTGTGGACTACAGTCTGCTGGCTGAAGGTCATTTTGTAATCAGATCAATATCTGCTGGGATGCCTCAGACATGATGGGCCATTAGGCTCCGAAGAGTCCTGCATGAAATCGCCTACTCTCTGTCTTGAAACCATTTGACCATCACATGTGGCTTTATGAGAGGAGCGTCACAGACTGATTTTGGATCAGAATGAACTTTGCCTCTAGCTGTTTTGTATCCAAACACATTGTGCATCAGTAGGGTGAGTGGTGTTTTTATTATGTTTCTTCTAATTTGTTGTGCTTTGGATGAGCATTACTGCATGAGTGAGTCTATCAAAAATATGTCTGCCTGGTCATATTTTCACTCCTTTGCTTTTCATACAGAAAATTAAAGGGATAGTTCACCCAAAAATGAAAATTCTGTCATTAATTACTCATCCTCATGTCGTTCCAAACCTGTAAGACCTTCGTTCATTTTCGGAACACAAATTAAGATATTTTTGATGAAATGTGAGAGCTCTCAGACCCTGCATAGACAGCGACGCAACTGTAATGTTCCCAGGTCCAGAAACGTAGTAAGGACATCGGTAAAACAGTCCATGTGACATCAGTGGCTCAACTTCAATTTTGCAAAGCTACTAGAATACTTTTTGAGCGCAAAGAAAACAAAAATAACAATTTATTCAACAATTCTTCTTCCCCGCTCGAGTTACGTCTTACGCCAGTATCACAACACATACGCACGCTTTCCCCTAAGCATAAACAACGCTGATTACGCAGATTACGTTCTGGGGTAGTCTCCAAAATGGTGGAAAACGTAACTCGGGGGAGAAGAATTGTTAAATAAATTGTTATTTTTATTTTCTTTGCGGACAAAAAGTATTCTCGTAGCTTTGCAAAATTGAAGTTGAGCCTCTGATGTCACATGGACTGTTTTACTACATTTCTGGACCTGGGAACATTATAGTTGTATTGCTGTCTATGGGAGGGTCAGAGAGCTCTCAGATTCCATCAAAAATATCTTAATTTGTGTTCCGAAGATGAACGAAGATCTTACGGGTTTTGAACGACATGAGGGTGAGTAATTAGTGACAGAATTTTCATTTTGGGGTAAACTAACCCTACAAGCCTGTATTTAGGACTGTTAAGATTTTTTTTTTTACCTCATACTATATTTTTATAACGGTTATGCACATTTCATCCCCAGAATTCTCATTAATTTAAAATGCATGGATGGTTTAATTTTTAGCTAGTGGGCAATTGTCATCCTGTCTGATCACACAATGATTTTATTTTATTGATGTTTTTTTTTATCCTATTTTTTTTTAAAATAATTTTTTTATCAGCTTAAAACTAGTGCAACAAGTGCTATCATAAAGCATAAATAAAATTTTAATATTATCTAATGATATTAGTTTAAGAATTGTGGGAGGAAATGTACTTAGTTGTAATAAAAAGCTTATAGTATGTGATATGCAGATATTTTACTCTGTTTTGCAGAAGCAAATCATTTAAATCTTTAAAAGCTCTTCATCCCAGTAGCTCCACTGAGATGCTCAGATATTCAGGCTATCAGAGGCCTCTCCGATATGTAAGCGGTGTCCTTATTCACTCTCAGTCTTAGCTGTTTCTGTTCTTTCACTATAGAGTGCTGCACATGCTCAGTCGGGCCTGTCTGGTGTTTTGTAGTATCAGCAGGAAGCAGTCATTCCTCCTCCTCCTCTCTTCTCCAGGAGCATGCCCTCTGAGCCTCCTCCCAGGTACATTCTGCAAACCTCAGTCTACCTTGAGAGGTGACTGTGTCCTTAGTGCTTTGGTGAGTTTTAATTTGATGTAGACACCGTTGGATTTGATGGGAGGTGTTGTGACATGGTCAGCTTTATTTAAAGAGCTCTGGAGGATGTCTGAGGTCATCTGAAGCTTTTATCTCCCAAGGCAGTATTACTTCGTGTTAACTAATACTGTAAAACAGTTTTTGTTAAATTTACTACAGTGATGATATAACGGACATTGTGGAGGCATTTTGGTGACTATATTCTACAATTCCTGTCTATACACATAAGATTAACATGATAAAAGATTAAAATTAACCGGTATTAAAATCTTTTTGTAACTGCAAAATATAGTGAAAATAGCACTTATAGTTAGTTACAATGGAGAGCAACATGATGACTTCAGCAGTGCCCTCCACCCCCACCCCAGCAACTGTTGTCAATAATAACATAGAAGGAACACCGTGTCACCCGCATATGCCATCAGGGTAAATCATGTATATGTCATGTAGCATTTAGCACTCCAATGTGCATAACTAACAAAAAATACCAACAAATGTGTTGGTTTATTCAGCAACTTTTGGTAATGGCCATATTCATATGAATTCAAAGAAGGTTCATACTTTTTACTTATAATAATATAATTTTTTTGTAAAAGTGTAAATATTGCCTTGCTAAAGTATTATAAATATAATCTTGCTTGCAATTCATTTGTTTTTAAAACAAATTGATATAATTTAGACATAAAAATGGTTAGATTCATTTAATTTATATTTATCTTTAAATCTTTACAGTAAAACTACATGTACTACAACAAAATATAAATAAGCAAATTTACTATATTCTTGATGCATTCTTTTTGTTAAATAAAATGTTTTTCCCAGTGTACAGACAGAGAATGAGAGCTAAATCTGAATGTGTTGAACTGAAAAGAGCTATTCAGGGCCTCAGGAGCAGTAAGAATCAATGACATCTCACTTACTGAATAGATAGTGATAGACCTAGTGTTCAGCAGCAGGAAGAAAGACACATATGCACACATGCACACTTCATTGTTTCTGGCCACAGGATTCCATGATGAGATGTTCACAATTTCCAAGCATAGGCTTGTCTTGCAGCATTGTTCTTGTGTCTCAGCTCTCAGGACATGCTGACAGGACAGAGGCTGTGTCAGTCCAAATCCCACCAGGACTCTGTCCTCTCTGCCCTTAATCAGCAGCGCAACGACGGACTGCTCTGCGATGTCACACTGGTCGCCGGGGAGCAGAAGTTCCATGCTCACAAGGCAGTCCTGGCAGCCTGCAGTGATTACTTCCGGGTGAGATTTTACACTCTATAGATTCCATCTCATGAAACATGATCAATGAGAGTGTCTGCCACACAAATTTCTTTAGGTTTCTATGATCTGTATAAAGCTATGCTTCTGCTGGCATCTATTAAGAGTATAGTTCTCCCAAAAATATATATTTTTTGCTGTCATGTCGTTCCATATCTATGGTAGCCCATTTCCACCAGATAGGAAATAAATAATTGGTACACTGTACATCATAATTATGACATAACAATAGTCAGAATTATGACGTACTAGGCCATAATTAAATTATTTTTTTATTTATCTTTAGATTTTATCTTTGGTTTTCTTATAATTTTTGCCTTTATAATGATACAGCAGTGGAGAGCAGTCAGGAAGCAAACAATGTAATGTGACAATCTAAATTATGAACAATAAGAGATTATGAGATATGAAGTCATAGTTGTGACATACAAAAAATAACAAATTCAAAATGATTAGATAGGGGTCAATTGTTATAAAAGTTTAACTTTTATGTCATAATTATGGCTTAAGTCATAACTTTTCATATTAATCTTAATCTATTTATGACTTAGTATCTCATAATTCCAACGCTTGATGTCATAATTGTGACTTTAGAATTATGATTTACCAATGTATCACCAGAAAAAGACCTCCATCAATATCCTTTTTTTTTGGGAACAGAAAGGGAGATGTTTGGCAGAATGTTCACACTGCTCTTTTCCATACAATAAATGCGAATGGGGACTGAGGAGTGCTGAGGAGTTCCAAAAATGATAAAAGCACCATAAGCGTACCACTAAAGTTGCCATTCAACTTGAGTGCAAAATTCCAAATCTTCTGAAACCATCCAAAGCTATGTACGAGAAAAAGAGAAATGTAAGATGTATAAGTCATTATATATTAAAAGTAACGTGTACATACATTCAAATGTTTAACATACTGTTAAACATCTTCTTTAGTCCCTCACACAAGCCATACGAGTTTGGAACAACATGATAGTGAGTAAACAATGACCGGATTTTCCTTTTTAGCAGTGCAATCCTGATTCAAATATGTACAGTTCACATAGAAGGCAAGACGGGAAATAAAAAGTCGGCAGCGGCCTGAAAACTGTAACAGTGAGATTTGATTTTGGTTTGTTCAGAAGATTACAAAGAAGAAATACGTCCAGCTTTGCAACAGAGAGAAAGATTATCTGCACAGTTCAAAGGACAGAATTAAATAGGGCAGGTATATTTATCTCTATATGTCTCCTGGGAAGCTCTCCACCTCTGTTGGGCTGGAATGATAAGATTTTATCCCTCTGTTTTTGATTTTAGCCCTTGGTTTCTTATGAGGACACCTTCTGCCTTTGTTATCAAATGACTGACTAAGGCTAGTCATGGCTTATGTAAAACATGGACATGGAATATAGTTACTGTGTACACAAATCAAAGCAAGCTGTTGGCTCTGTTTGACAGCTACCCTTTGACGTTGTATGCCTGCAAGGTTTGCATTATTCCTGATTTCTATTAGGTGAAATGGTTGAATAGATTTAAATAGGTAGACATGCATGAGCATGTGTCCGATACTTTACTGTGAATAACAAAATGATTTGTGTTAGAAAATTAATCCTAAATCATAAGTATTTCGCAAGTGGTCCTGCATTGTTTGTGCATGAATTATACCTACAATTTTAGGGCTTGCTAAGGAGAGACGTGTTATTTGAAACAAAAAGATGGTGACAAAACCATTATATGGATGCACAAAAGCACTCAGAACCACCCTAGAAATGTGGCAGAGAGTTTATATACAGTTAAATACCAGTCACATTATCATCAGAATATGTAAAAATTATACCAGTTTACCCAGTGGCACTTGTCTTGTTCTATTTTCAGGCCTGATGTCCATGAGAAATTACAGGATATTTATACAGGATAATACAGCAGCTTTAACACATTAGCGGCACTAATGAATAAATGTGAACGGTGTAATCAGTGCTTGTGGCACTGCCATTAAAGACAAACACTGTAATAATGACATTACACATTAGTCCAAAGATGTTTGTATAGCAAAGCTCTTTGAGTAAACACAAATTTATATTCATAGTCCACGAGTAGTTCATAGTGGCTCATAGTCCATCCATCCATCCATCCATCCATCCATCCATCCATCCATCCATCCATCCATCCATCCAACAACAAACGCTGTTAGAGATACAAATATATCTTTAACAGTTAATGACATCAGCAAAAATCATGACACAAGTAAGTTCAGTGACTCGATGATGATTCAGTAACCACTCTGGCCAATTAACTTCAGTGGGGGATTCGCTGATTCAAAGCAATAATTCATCTCTTTGAACTATTAATTAAAAAAAAAACTCATAAGAGTAACTTGTGAATCAGACTACACTGGTAGTGCTGTGTGTTGTTTTTGTCTGTTTTGTTCTTGCCACAGTTTTAGTGGTACACTGTATAGACTTAAAACTTGCAATCACAGTTCATGTGAAATATGATTGCCTGGTAACTGAAGATTCACAGTGCAGCAATGCCGGGAACACTGATGTGAGGCATTAAATGATTCTGCATTATCATATGGCTCAAAAAGCATGCGTTGTAAACTAATTAGCCTGCAAAGCTGCTGTCTGACCAGCTTGCTCTGCTTTTCCAAGGTCAGAACAGAAGTCATCCAGCCAGACATATGACTCAGGACTGGTCATCCTTAGTACTCACAATCCCCTTGTAAAAAAACCCTGCAAGTCTTGCTTATGGGCATTGTCCCAGTAAGGAGCTCTCCAAGTAGCATCAACAAATCTCAGCTCTAATGATTCCTTTTGAAAGTCTGAATGTCAGCCGAGGTCAGGCATTAAATAAGTGCTGCTCTTAAAATAGAAAATAGGAAAACAGGGTACACTTGTACAAGGTACTTCAATTGTGAGATACTACTGGGGGAAAAGTTTCTGAAGGTGAGGTGACAAAGGTAAGATGATAAACACTTGGCATCTTCTTTTAACACATGGAGGCTTCAGACTGAGCCAAGACCTGCATTAGAAATCTATTGATTCTTTCAAAGGTCTATGCACTGATACTAATTTTAATCCTGAACCAGACTTAATCTGCATCGGAGAGTTATTGCTCCTTGAGTTTGAGAGATATATAGATAGATCACACTTTTTTTTATTCAACGCTGGATGTTCATCACTAGGAGCAGTTAGGTTTAATCTGTTGCGTTTGGTAGGGGTAATGATGATCCAATGTCCTTTGACTTCCTCTCCTCCATGGACTCTGATCAATGACCATCCTATGCTCGCTCTGTGACAGCAATCAATGCTTTTGATTAGTGTACTCCTGCCAGAGAACACAGCGGGACAGCACTGGCCTCTTGTTCTCTTTATTTTGTGTGTGTGAAACTAAAGTACGTACTGATTGATGGTCATGGACTCACTTTCATTCTCAGTATGAGACTCCTTAGACTTGAATGAAGAGTTTATTGATGTTTTAAAGTCTATTTACAGGATGCTATATTACTCTAGTTCTGTAGTGCATCCTGCTTATATGTTTGTTTGTTTGTGTGTGTTCAGGCCATGTTCAGTCTGTGCATGGTGGAGAGTGAGGCAGATGAGGTAACTCTCCAGGGTGTGACTAGCATGGGACTGAAGCACGCACTGGACTTCGCCTACACAGGCCAGGTAAATTCAGCATAGCCCACACAGCTACATAGAGCCTGAACATGCAAAACAAACAAAATTGACTGCGCCTCAAGCAAAGACAGGTCTCTAGGTTCTGGAAAGACCCCATTATAAATACACTCGAAATAGGAGCAGATAAGTGAAATACTTGTAAATAATCATATTTATTCTAGAGCTTCACAAATGGGCTTACACACTTGAACATCTAATTCTGGTTAATTGTAATCCTGGGTTTATCACACTATACATTTGTGAACTGTGAGTTCATGTTCTTAGATGCATATTTATGTATATAATATTTATATATATATATATTTGTACAAGTATAGTTATATATATTATACTTTTATAATTATATGTAATAGATTTTTAAAAATTATTTACAGTATGAATATTTAATGAATACATACATTTTTCGTTTGTGATTGGTTCTCTGTTGCTATACAACTTTTACATTATAGCATTGCTAGCAGAGATATTATAATGCCACCCATGATTCAGTATTATACACTAATATTCAAAATTTTTTCAAATAAATTAATATGCATTATATTGGTCAGTAGTGGATCAGAATTGACAGTAAAGACATTTATAATGTTACAAATGATTTCCATTTCAAATAAATGGGGTTCTTTTGAACTTTCTATATATCAGAGAATCATTTAAAAATGAAACAACTGTAAATAATCATTGTAAAATATAAATGTAAAATAAATTCTTAAATACATTAAAGTTGAACATTTTTATTTTACATTGTAATAATATTACAAACCCTTGGCCAGTATAAGAAACTTCTCTCAATAAAATGTAAAAAACCTTACTGAGTGACTCCAAACTTTTGAATGTAACTGAATTGGATGAATTGTAGCGCTCACTATCCTTCGCAGTTAAAATATCCATTCGCCTGCTTTTTTGTTTCTGGATGCATATGTGCTTTAGCTGCACCAGCCTGAAAAATACAGTTTTTTTTGCATGATTTGAGCTAACCATGTGTGGCACAGAGAATGAAACATATTTTGTGGCTTATTTCGATTTAGTCCTTAAGCCTCTATGAGAAGAAGCATTTTTCTTTTTTTATTCTTTTTTTTTTTTTTTATGTGTTTCGTTATATAATTTTTATTAAAACAAGACTGTATTTTTATGATCATATAATTTACTCTGTACATTAATAATGGATATTTTAATGGCTTTGCAATCTAAGCATCATAGAGTATGTAAAGACATTTAATATAGTAGTCTGCTATACATATTATTATAGAGCTGACTTAAAATGCAATGCTTACTTTTATACAATATTTAACAAAAAGGTCACTGCTCCATCTCTCTCTTCACCAAGGGGTCCTTGGCCTGAAAATGTTTGAAGACCCCTGTTTGCAAGGTTGTTGTTTCTTAGGATAGTCTTACTCCGGTCCTTTGTCTGTAGATCATGCTGGAGCCAGGAGTGATACAAGATGTACTGTCTGCTGGAAGCCACCTTCAGCTGCTGGAACTGCTCAGCCTCTGTTCTCACTATCTCATTCAGGTGTGTTTATGTGGCATTTCTGCCCTGAAAACATGCAGGCAGGTCAGCAGGTACTACATATAACTTCACTGTGTGATCAGATCTTTGTTTTACATCATCACTGTGTTTGTGTCAGATTTAGTTTTTTAAAAGTGCTGATTTTGCTGCTTCCTGTTCACTTCTTAGGGGAGTAGTTCTGTCATCTGTCATCATTCATTCACTCTCATGTCATCACCTTCATGCTCTTTTCAGTTTGATTACAATTAAAAGACAAATAACTAGAATTATTGAAATAGTAGTATTGTGTATATAAGACTATATATGATTTTGTGTTATATTCTCCTGAATCCTTTGTGTGAGAAATGATTTCTTAAGGATTTTGAGCTGATTCTGCGGAATTCCATAGGGTTTTCCCATAAATTAGCCCAGAAAATCCCATAAATTAACCCAGAAAATCACTACATTTAAAATGTGCTGATTCATTTTAACCAGTAGATGGCAGTCAGTCTCTGTGTGAAGCATTTTTCCTAATCATGCGTCTGTGGAACATCCTGACTGGATTTCTCTCTCCGTTGTTCTCTCTTTTACTTAGAATTTTCAAGGCTACGGTTATGGATATTGTGGACTTTGATGAATTCCAGCTCTCTTAAGCTTCCAGCAGTCATTTATTTTAACTGTATTATTTACTGTATTACAATATTTAACAACTGTATGTGTGCATTCATGGGGATATCTTATTGTTTGCATTTGTGTGCTCGAATCAGGGCATGTAAGATTTCATTTTAGACTGTAATGGTCAACTAGTTTGTGTTCATAGATTTTAGCATGAATAAAACACCCCTTCTGACTGTGAATCTGTCTGTATTTATATCTGTGCCTGAAGGAGCTGAACAGTTTTAACTACCTGGACCTATACAGGCTGGCAGACCTCTTCCACTTGCCGGCCCTAGAGGAAGCAGTGGTGGGCTTTCTGGTGGATCACCTCTCTGAGCTGCAGAGGAACAGACAAGAGGAAGTGCTGCTCCTACCTTATCGGCTCCTCAGGGAAGTGCTAAAAAGCGACCGCCTCACCTCCCTCAGTGAAGAGGAGATATGGCAGGTGTGTGGGCCGCAGATTCAACTCTTCAAAACATCTCTGAACTGCTTAGGCAGCTTTAATGCAAAATATCAGCATGGGGTTCAAAGTTCTGAGACGTCTGTTTTTTTTTTTTTCCAGATTTTGAAAACTTTACAACAAAGAACAGTTATGAAATATTTAAGTTTGTACATAATTTCTAGTTCACTAATGTGACCCTCTTTGTACAGACGTTCAAATAGGGTCACAGTACAGTAGATGTTCATCCACTGAAGCTCAAGATGCTCTTTGGCACATCTTGAATCACGCTGGACAATGTGACCATTAGGTTTTACACAAACTTGTGGAGCTCATGCAGTGGTGCTATCATTAAACCAAAACAAGAACAAACCATTTTGTAGTGGACCATTTCACAGAGAGTTATGATGCATTTCCACGTTTTTTTCTATTAAGATTTGATATACAGTTATAAAACTCTACTTTGTATTGTATTACCTTGGTGTTAAATTACAGAACACTAGATAATGCTGCTGCATGGGTTTTTCTACTAAAACGCCTGCTTTGTGGCCACTGTAATCAGTCTCTAGATATTTTTTGCAAAGTCATAGAAATGCTATTGTGTTTAATTTATTTTGGGGAATGCAAAATGATATTTGTTGTAGTTTCCGTTCACCACTGTAGAAGTTTACCCAACTATTACAACTTCCACTGCACCCTGGGAATGTGAGAGGGGTCCATTATTGCAACATTTTTGGTTCAGGTTTTCACTATAATTTGTAATATATTATAATTTTATAATATATAATAATGTATAATTTAATAGTGAGAAATTTTTTATTGAATCAGAAAAGAAAGTCTCAGAATTTTGGACCCTGTGACATTCTCTATAACGGCCAAATGTGTTGTTAAGTAAATCTGAATGCTTAAGGTCATATTGACAAACAAACTCCACCTGTTTAATTTATGGTGTAAGAGTGAGAAAAAAAGGTGTGCGGACAATTTGAGCGTGTGTGTGTATGTACACACGGGCGGAGGCTGTAGTCGGTAGGGGGGTGGCTGTGGTGTGACTATTCATTTGCACCAATCAGGCATCCCCCCCACCCCCAATTTTATAATATATAATAATGTATAATTTAATAGTGAGAAATTTTTTATTGAATCAGAAAAGAAAGTCTCAGAATTTTGGACCCTGTGACATTCTCTATAACGGCCAAATGTGTTGTTAAGTAAATCTGAATGCTTAAGGTCATATTGACAAACAAACTCCACCTGTTTAATTTATGGTGTAAGAGTGAGAAAAAAAGGTGTGCGGACAATTTGAGCGTGTGTGTGTATGTACACACGGGCGGAGGCTGTAGTCGGTAGGGGGGTGGCTGTGGTGTGACTATTCATTTGCACCAATCAGGCATCCCCACCACACCCCCCACCCAGCCTCTCTCTGATTAGGCCCACCGCGGCACCATCAGCGCCTCAATCCCCCAGCTGTCACTCCGGCCGCCCTACTGATTGAAAACAATCAGCCCTCTGATGGCACAATTACCCTGACCCTTTAACCAGTCGCTACTGCCATAATCAGGCCCTGATTAGGCTGCTTTGGGCCTCCTTCACTTTGCAGAGAAGGTTAATTTGGGCATCAGACGGAAGCGTGATGGGCACAGGGGCTGGTGCTGCCGTCAGCCGGTCCGAACGTGCGCCCGCCAATGCTGCCCTCGATATAGTTTGGCTGTCAATCATCGTCATGCAGAGTTCTCTGAGTCTCACGCTCTGGAAATCACATTTTCTTCCTCTTTGTTTTTTTTTCTTTCTTTTTTTCTTCTCTCGCGCTCACTCTCTGTCTGTCTTTCTCCGTGCGGGAGTGGGTGGGGGAGTTCATTTATTTTTTGCCCCGAGGAAGTTCTCTGATCCAGTGTGACCTTCACAGCCAACAGACGCTGCCTCGCTCACACACTTTTCAATAATATTTTTAGACCCTCCCCTCCCCACCCCCCCCCCCCCCCCCCCCCCCTTCCTCTCTCTCTCTCTCTCCCTCTCTCTCTCTCTCTCTCTCTCTCTCTCTCTCTCCCTCTCTCGTTTTCCACTCTCACTCATTCTCTTTCTTCTCTTCTGTTGACTGTGAAAAGGAGGGTTGAAAAAAAACAACTAAAATTCAGAGAAAGGAAGAAAGCGAAACAGAACCTCGATAAAGCTTTACATGATTAATGGCGCCGAACAGGAATGTTGGAATTTTTTTGCTCAAACCTATGTGCACTTAAAACCTAAATGTGTAATTATTTAGGAACGCACCATATATAGGTACCAACTATAGCATACTGAATATTTAGGCCAATTTTAGATCTTTAATTGTGCATGCAATAATCATGTGTTGCTCACTTCAAGTTAATCAGTGTTGAAAAACATTAAGTATTGAATAGTCTATAATCCATAATACATGAATATACATTTCTCATATTGCATGTTATAATATTTTGATGCCTAAATTCACAAATAGCATTTAAAAATATTTATTAGTTGTTTAGACAATATAGTATAGAATTTTATATATCAACAATTTATTGCTTATAAGCCATAACATATCAATAGTTATAGGCTTATTAGCATTGGACATGGAGTAAAAAAATATTTTTTGAGAAAAAAGAAAAAGTCCTTAATTCACTTGAAGCATGATTCATTGTATTGCTACTGCGTTTTATTAAAAAAACATATGTTCATATGATGCGATTTTAAGTTTTCCTTTCTCTTTGGAGTGTTACAAGCTGATTGTGCATAGATAAGATCCCTGAAGTTGCAAAGACTAAAGTCTCTAAACCAAAGAGATATTCTTTATCAAAGTTAAGACTCTGCCACGCCCCCCTAAAATGGCTCGTTCTAACACGCCCCCACATATCTACTTCACTATGTGGAAATATTTGCATAATGCGCCCAAATGTGCACGCAAAGAAAGAATGCGTGGTTTCAGTAACCGCAGTTAGTGTTGAAGCAGCCATGTCAGGGAGACGCTGTGTGTTTCTAGGAGAAAGCAAAAGCACTTTATTTGGCCTTCCGAAAGTAGATGCATTTAGGAATCTTTAAGATCATTTACAACAGAACAGCAATGCATTTTATGGACGACCGTTTCGTGAACCTAGGATAGGAGGTAATTCTGACTTTGCTATGACAATCTGGCGCTTCTGAATCAGCTACTGTTTTGTTATTAGTTTAAGTATTTGCAATTGACTGTTCAAATGCGGAGTTTTGCGCATTGTGTGTGTGTGTGTGTGTGTGTGTGTGAGAGAGAGAGAGAGAGAGAGAGAGAGAAAAAGAGTGAGGCAGCGTCTGTTGACTGTGAAGGTCACACTGGATCAGAGAACTTCCTCGGGGCAGAAAATAAATGAGCGAGCCAGGGTCACATCACAGTGGAGTCAGCTGTCTTAACCGTGGCTTGTGTACTGCAAACACATATTCATCACTGTGTCTGTCACGCGACTCTGTTCCCCTTTCGGGCTCTGTCTTTACATTTATTTTGAAAGATGAAGCTCGCGATTATGGTAAGGGGCGTTACATTTGCGACGAGTGCTTGCGGTGTTCGGCCAATCACAATGCACTGGGTCAGCTGGCCAATCAGAGCAGTCTGCGCTTGTCGGAAGGAGGGGCTTTGTAGAAAACGAAGCGTTTGAGAGAGGCGGGGCATATAGGACCTACAATAATGTACAGTATTTGAAAAATAATGTGTTTTTTGAACATTAAAGCATGTCAACATATTCTGTTATACCAAATACACAAAATAATGATCTATAAAAAAGCATCATATGACCCCTTTAAAATATATAATAAAATATTATATATATTGGCTATTTATTTCTTATCAGTCATAACATAAAGGTAATCAAAGGCTTATTGGTAATGAACAATTTTAAAATAAGTAAAAAATTTAATCATTTTATGCTTAATTCAATTGGAGCATGATTGATTTTTTTTTTTTTTTTTTTTTTTTTTTTTTTTTTTTTTTTTTAAAAAAAAAAAAAAAAAACATTTTTTAAAAAATTTTTAATACCCGCCTTTTTATATATATATATATATATATATATATATATATATATATATATA